TGGGGCTCAAACGGACGGATAATATTCAGCATCAACACTGCACAGTCCACACCCATACAAAAGACGGTGTTAAGAACTGGAACTTGAAACAAATTTTGATTACTCACCAGCAATCAACTGTTAATGGCGTGCTTTTATGGACCCAGACGGAAGCCATTCTGAGGGAGCTGGAGAAGAAGTCTGGGACCTCCAGCCCAGTGAATCTCCTCCTGGTTGGCATTGAGATACTCGACGTCAGCAAGCTCAAGCTGCCCATCAGCTACCGTCCTCCCAACAAGCTGTAACAAGGAAGTGGGAAGAAATGCTTTCAATTTCCACTGTTCATTAATAACCGTTGAAACTTTGTGAATTCTTATTTTCTATGATGTTAGATGGGTTGTTAAGGCAAGATTTTGATTAGTCAATTGCTAGAGAGCTTAATTCCACGATTTTGGGCATTACCTTGTGTTTTGATCGGTGGCGAGTGCGGCAGTATTCCTCGAATTGTACATTGGGTCTGGAGCTAGCTGTGGCGTTCTCAATGTCATCCATAGCCGGTGCCGCAAGCAAGGCATTGAAATTCGCAGAGAGAAAGCGATACCTATACCAGCGGTGGGAAGAAATAAAGTGAGGTGGGGGTGGAAAATAAATTTTTAAAAATTTGGGATTGTGGGTGGAAAATAAAGTTTCATTCGGATGTCAATTGGGTCGAGTGCACAATTGTCGTAAGAACACTAGCGGGACATGTCACTTTCTAGACTTATCATAGTTTAGTAAGAAATAAACTTTCGTTGTAGTGTCTACAGTTGAACTCGAATATATCTCGACTGCTATATGTCGTGCTCAAATTTTATGGATGAAATAAACACTTAATAATCATCATTTACCCTTCGATCATATACTTATCATATACAATCTTTCGTTCTCGAACGAAGCATGTTGAGATTATACACCACTTTATACAAGATCATGCACAAAAGAGGATATTATGTTAGAAGTTGTAAACACTGAAAATCAATTGGCCAACATTCTTACGAAACCTCTAGCACTTGATAGATTCTCACATATTTGAAGAGATTTGAACATTATTGATGAATTCGAAGTACATGGCTAAGTTGAGTTCATACGATGTGTTCTTACATGATTAATTTCGAATATGCTGTATTATTTGAGATTTATTAGAAATTTTGTGTTCCATACCACCCTGCCCAGGCCAAATACAGCTCATTTCCCATTCCTTTCTTGGCAAAACTATACAAGTATGTGTACATTATAATTGTTGGTTCTGCAACTCCCAAGATCAACATTGGCTTTCCCCCAAAAACTGAATGGATAACTCCACAGATAGCCATGGAAACAAGAGTTTCAACATTGCCCAAGCTTCCATCTATCACAAATCAAACAAATGTCTCCAGATAAATATAAAATGCATCTTCAATACGGATGTAGGATGATTATTTAGAAAAAATTAGAGATCTTTCGTGTCTAAAATAATCATATTTCAACACCGGTAAAAGTATTATGTGAGATAAAACATAGACCTGTTTCCCTGAAAACGGTTAATGGAAAAAAATAATAATAAAAAAAAGCTCAAAATTCACTTGAGATGCTTAATTAAAAGTGAAATTCAAGCAAAAAGGCTTCACCTTGTACTCCGTCGATTGGACTCTTCAAGTGATTCATTGCTTATGCTGCATAAGTAACTAAATGCTAAAGCCAAGATTGCCAAGATTATATTCAAAATGCTGTGATAGCTCACTAGTGAATTTCATTAGATTGCACTTAGATCAAAGGATACCGGGCAACGCATAATTCCAGTAACGACTAGGTTGTGAAATATCAGATTCATTAGACCAATAACAGCAACATTCAAACAAAACAAATCGCAAAGGTTAAAAAAAAATACAATATTAAAGGTAAACAGTGCCATGTGAATATTACTGCACTAATGTAAAGAAGACTCGTGACTTTTATGTAAATGGATAAAAAGTATATAAAATAAATAAAAGAAAGCATATGAACTCATTTTACATTGTTGAGATTTATTATTAAGAAATTGAAGCAGATGAATATTATAAAATCAATGAAATAAAAAACCCAAAAACTTTTTCCTAAAATAAATATCAAAAATGAAAAAAAAAATAATATATTTTTAATATTGCATCAAATATATACCCTAAAAATAGAAAATTAACATAAGAAATTGACACCCATGTTTGCAAATCAGCAAATCTTTTCACATTTCATCTTCTTTCACTATATGAATCGATAATTTTAAATTTATAATGTTTGGAAAAATTGTCAAATCGCTTAA